AATTATGATTTCGTTTAATAAACTGTCACGTTAAAAGAACACAGCACTCTGACTTGTGGAAGGATGAGAAACGCGTTGAAGGATGAGAGACGCGTTTTTCTCTCTTCCGTCACCGTTATCATCTCAGTTCCATCCACCATGAGTGAACGCCACCCCCCTTCAATTCGAGAACCCTCTCTCTCCTTTCTCTTCTTCACGTCGAACGATGCAAATCGTGAAGGAATTCCTGTGTCCTTGTAACTTTGCGTTTTTTTTTTTTTTTTTTTTTGTATTATATATTTCTTTACAGAGGAAAGTTTATTCCGTTTATTTCGTTTCAACACACACACATACACGTTGCTCGAATATTAAAGCGACAGCGATTGTAATTTGATTTTAGAGATTAAAGTAGTAGGGGGGGTGGTTTTTTTTTTTTTTTTTTGTTGAAAAAGAATCTTCGTACAAAATCTTTTTCTCCTTCGTCTTCCATATAGATAGATTTTTCCAATTTGTTTTTTCTTTATTATTATTATTATTATTTTCATCGTGTACTTACCACGTACTTACTCTTTCTTTTGTATTATTTTTTTCTTTTTCTTTTCTTTTCTTTTTTTTTTTTTTTTTTTTTTTTTTTTTTTTTTTTTTTTTTTTTTTTTTATCCCACAAAATTCGCAGTAAGATGCCGTCCATTATGCTTTCGGAAACTAACGAAGACTACCAAGGGATGCGGAGGATCGATCGTTTACGAGCGCAACTTCCTCACCTCGTTGGCTTCGAGTCAATGGCGAAAGGAATTCCGTTTTTGCGTCATCGTGTGTTGCACCGCTCGGATTTTTCTATCGCGAATCACGTGGAATATTCCATGGTTAACAATAAAATTTATAGATAATTACGAACGCTAATTCTCGATCGTTCTTCCACACTCCTCCAATAGAAAGAATTATTTTCAAAAATAACGCAATTAACAAAATTCATATTTCTCAAGAAATATTTTGCGAGATTTTAATTGACAATTGTTATTAGATTCTCGACAAGTTTAACTTGTTAACAAGAGTTTAATAAGAGTTTCTCCTTCGAATTCAGATAACGATGATAATGGATTCTGTATCGTTGTTGTACCATTTGAAAATTTTAACAAATTGTATTGTGTTAACAAAAAAAAGGAACGTGTTTTTAATATCGTAGAATACTTTTTTCTCTCTCGAAGAAGGATCGAGAATTCGCGAACGAATAATATGTTTCTCGCTTATAGAACCATCGATCCTTTCGATCCCCGAATAATTAGTTCCTTTAAAAAAAAAAAAAAAAAAGAAAGAAAGAAATTCATTAATTTTCCGGCAATGTTGCAAAAAAAAAAAAAACAAATTGATCGATAAAACAAAATATATATACACGCGAATCGGTTTATCGAAAAGAACGGATAAAGAGGAACGCTTGCGGTCTTTCGACCAAATAAACAAATTATCGTTGATTGATCGATGGTAAAAGAAAAAAAAAGAAGAAAGAAAATTGCAAGCATTCATAATTTTCTTTTCTATCGTACGCTATATAGAGGTTCGTATTGATCGAAATATATTTATGATTCCACTTATGGGTCCCTTTAACCCTGAAACGTAAATTCAATTCGATCTTTCGACGATTTGTCGCCGATTCGTGCACGCGATTTCGTGAAAAAATTGCTAGAGTGATATACACGGATATATTTAATCTTCTCTCGATTGTGATAATAATTTTTTGACTGATAAACGAGAATCGGAAAGACTGCCTATTTGTTTTTTACCTTTTATTGAATTGTTAGGGACTTGTAATAGACTGAGAACTTCTGCGTGATGTTTCTTGATCGATTGTTGAAGAAGGGGGGGGGGTTGGGAAAATGGGGGGTACGGTGGATGATGAAGAGTTGCGAAGCGACAAAAATGGAAAACTCTCTTGTATTGTATTCGGCTCGTCCGATCGATTCGTTTTATTAAACTCGTTACGTAAACGATTTTAACCAGAAACGAGGAATAAACGATCGTTTCTCACGTTGATATTTTACATCGAAATTTCTTCAGGGTTAAAGCGACTGATGAAAAAAAAAGAAAAAAAAAAAAAAAAAAAAAAAAAAAAAACAAAAAAAAAAAGAAGTCGACTTGAAACGTTTCTATTACTCGTTGTAATAATCGTCAATTTTCGCGCTTTAGGAAAAAGGAAAGGGTTGCGAGTGTGCGAAGGCAGCACACATATGTGTGTGTGTGTGTGTGTGTGCGTGTACGTGCGCGAGAATGAGTAATAAAATAAACGAAGGTGTGAATGAGAATGTAAGAGAGAACGAGAAAGGAAAGGAACAAGAAGAGAGAGAGAGAGAAAGAAA